GGTGTAGTATGGCATTTGGGACAATTCTTGCAAGGACTGGGTAGTTTCAGGACAGGAAACCATACTGCACCTCAAGCAACCTATTAAGTCCATTCTTTCCTTTAAAAAGAAAGGGGAAAAAAAGCAAAAAACAAAGTGCCCTATTATATACCACCCCATTGTGCTTAATCACTCTTTGGGCAGTTTACACTTTAATTATGCAGGAAAAGAAAAACGAAAGAAGATCCACTTTCTTGTCTCCCCCAGTCTCCCTATCTGTGTGTGAAGCAAGAAAAAGTAATAATTTTGTAAAAATTATTTTTTAGTGGCATAGCACTGAATTGGCTTGCCAATCAACTTATTCAGCACTGGATGCCGGGGATTACTGTTTCCCTTCTGTAGGAGAGCTGCAGGAAGCTTTCAATTTCCTAATAAGTAGTTAGGCTATGAAGTAGCTTAAGCAAAGCAATAACCATCCAATCTGCTCTGGTATGATCCCAGTAATCATGCATGCTGGAACTGAACCAAAATAGAGCAATTCTACCGGCACTAAAAAAAACCATAGCTCATCGAAGGGGCCAAAAAAGGTGTAGGTAGGTAGGGATAAATGGTAGAAGTGCAAGCAGAAGGTCATTTAAAATCATTTTTAAATGATCTTATTACAGGTGATGTGATGGAGAGAGCATGAAATTTGCTCAGGCCAAGAAACAGGGGAAGGAAACCAGACTTAGTATGGGGAACAAGGAGCCAGAATATCAAGGCATGGTCTTGATAGCCAGTCCATGATTTGATTGTGAAATGTGAACTACAGTATTAGAAAATAAGACTATAGCAGTAAGCACATTAGTTAAGGTCTATTGAACCAGTGTGTTTCATTCTACATAATCTAGCTTTGTTTGCACATCATGTTAGCTGGCACTTCTGTTCATCCATTTGTGCCAGCGGAAATAGCTAAAGAAACTAGTCCATCAGTTGTTCAGTATTAGGTCTGAAGTGGGAACTCTAGTTATTTGATTCTCTTAACAAGCATGAATCACAATTCAGCGTTTGTTTCTGGTTTATGATTTTTGCTTGTTTAGAACAAAAAACCAGAAAAGTTAGTCTAAATGCAGCAGTTAATAGTCACAGTCAGAGACTTCCTGGCTTGTACAGCTCTCTCATGGGCAACAAGAACAAAATGGACAGATTTAAGCAATGAACATCAGTACACTTGCTCATTCTGGATAAACCACAATGTAAGAAAACTGTGCCCTACTTTTATGTCTAAACCAACCCACAATATTGGATGTAGGGATATCTTATTGATTTTTATGGAGAATAGGAAGACGATCCTAACCTGTAGATCATAACTTGTAGTTAGGATGGATTAGTACAGTTTCATTGCAGGGAGATGAGCTCTACTCTGTGGTGGTGCTAAGGTATGTCACAGAGAACTTTGTATATGTATCTACCATTGATTCTGTTTTCTGCTTGTACTGGGCCTCAAATCAGAATGTTCTGGGGGCAGAACAGTTTTCATTATTTCAAAAAACGTCAAGATTAGGGCCCTCACAGATATATTTTTTTTGCTCTTTTTAGATTAAAGGTTGAACAGAATTGACAATTGTAAAAACAAAGATACATCTGCCCACCTCACTACCCACCCTGATTGATGGGAGCCTACAAAACTTTAGAGATGATCTATTGTACTACCCTTTAGGATTAGTAGGTCATGATTAGAGATGGGCATGAATCAGAAAAATGGTGTTTAATCAAGGTTGATGAATTAGATTACTGTACAAATTTACAAATTTTTTCTAAGGAATTGACAAACTGATTTGTCATTTTTTTTTAACTTTAAAACCCTATACTCGTAAAATACCCACCAAGCACCAAGACACACCAAATTTTCAGAGTCCCTGTATTCTCCTCTACAAGCCCTGCAAGTTTGGTGAAGTTTGGGTTTTGGATATCTGAGTTCTACACCCACAAGAAATCTCCCCCCAGGAAAGTTGCCTCAGACACCCAGAGACACCAAAACTACAGAGAAACTTCTACTGACTTTCCTCTACAATCCCTCCATGTTTGGTGAAGATTGGGCTTCAGACATCCAAGTTATACACTCGCAAAGTGGGTCCCCTCAGGAAAGTGCTCTTTAGCAGCTGGCTTAAGAAAACCTAATCTTCAGCAAATTGGAGGGATTGTAGAGCAGAGTCATGGAAAGCTTCAGTGTGATTTTGTTGTCTCTAGGTGCCGGGGGGGGGGGACTTTCCTGGGTGTGTGTGTCCTCTTTGTGGTTATACAAACTTAGACATCTGAAACCCTATCTTCACCACACTTGGATGGAATGTAGAGGAGAGTCAGAGGAGGCTTGCCTGTAATTTTGATGTCTCTAGATGCCTTGGGGACCACTCCAAAGCCAAACAAATTGATGGAAAAAATCGTTAATAATTCATTGATTTGTATTTGTTGGGGACATTGACTTATATGACTAGGTAAAGGTAAAGGTTCCCCTTGACATTTAGTCCAGTCGTGTCCAACTCTAGGGCGCGGTGCTCATCCCCATTTCCAAACCATAGAGCCAACATTTGTCCAAAGATAGCTTCCATGATCACGTGGCCAGCGTGACTAGAAACAGAATGCTGTTACCTTCCCACTGAGATAGTACCTATTTATCTACTTGCATTTTTACATGCTTTTGAATTGCTAGGTTGGCAGGAATCAACAAATTAGCAATTTTTGAATGAATTTGGTAATTAATTTTTTTGATTTGTGCTTATCTCTAGTCATGATTAACTTGTCACATTGATCTCAATGAGTAAGTAAGTGCAACCAACTTAAGTGTAGATTTAACCCCTATTTGTGTGTTGTACTGACGTAAAGGAAATTTATGTCCACATTTAGGATCAGAGGTGTATATTTGAAATTATTTAAATAGAACCAGTCTCACTTCATACTGAATCTCAAATGGATCTAGGCATATTATGGCAAATATATTTTATACAGTTCATACTATTATTTATTTATTTATTTTATTTATATCCCGCCTACCTAGCCAACTCAGGGCCACTCTAGGCGGCTAACAATCATCAAATAGTTAAAATATACATATATAAAACAGCAAATAATAAAAACTTAGAAAGATAGAAACCAGATAGAGAGGAAAAGAAAAGGAGAATCAGGGATTGTCTGAAGGAAAGGCCTGCCGAAACAGCCATCTCTTTAATTGCTTCCTAAAGATACCCAGTGAGGGAGCCCCGCGAATCCCAGGAGGTAGATTGTTCCAGAGGCGAGGAGCCACCGCCGAGAAGGCCCAATTTCTTGTCTTCTCCTTCCGGGCCTCCCTCGGCATTAGGCTCCTCAGCCTCACCTCCTGGCTCGCTCGAGTGACACGGGTAGAACTTGGTGGGAGTAGGCATTCCGCCAGATATCGAGGCCCTAAACCGTTTAGGGCTTTATATGTAAACACTTTGAAGTCGATGCGGAATCGGATGGGCAGCCAATGCAATGCAGCCAGAGTGGGCGAGATATGTTGGAATTTTCTCACTCCACTGAGTAATCTGGCCGCCGCATTCTGCATCACCTGTAGTTTCTGCAACAGCCTCAAAGAAAGCCCCACATAGAGCGCATTACAGTGGTCTAATCTTGAGATCTATCTGCGGAATTCACAGATTCTCCAAGTTGCTTTTTAAACTGTCATTCACGAGTTCTAACTGGGAATGACTACATGCACAGGAATGATGTTTGCTTGTACCTGCTGGTATATCACTTTTCTGGAATGTGAAAGTCCTATGAAATGAAATTGCTCACAAACTAAGAGAAATTGTAAATTATTTCTTTCTCAACAGGTTTCTCATCCTCATTCTAGAGTTGCCTAAAATGTGGCTTGCTAAACATTTCTACTACCTAGTTCAGAACTTGGAACAGAAATCCATTTTTCCTTTTTTATTGGGTTCAGGGAAGGCAGTGGAAGCCCTAGGCCAGAGACTAATGGGTGAGAGCTAATAAACTTGAAATTCCATCTGAGTAAAATGGAGCCTCTCCTAGCAGACAGTTCTCTTACACAGGAGCTTGTTCATCTGTTTAACTGATTTTAAATGGAATTGCATTTCCTTTAATGATGTCTGATCCCCTAAATTTGGGGGATCCAGCTTTCTAACTGGATGCCAAGTAGCTGCTGTGGCACGCAGTGTCAGCTGCAGTCTTCCTTGGTCAAAGAGAGTCTAGACATATTTACTTATGCTCTGATAATATCTAGCACTGATAAATGTAATGTACTGTACACGAGGCAGCCTTTGAAGGCAATTTAGTCAGTTCAAACTATAGCTGCCAGGGTATTCATTGGTGATGATGCAGTGAAAACAAATCTAGCTGATATTGAAAAAGCTTCACCTCTGACATTAATGTGGTATTCACAATGCCCAACAGGAACAGCAATGTGCACTGTGACCCAGCTACAGCACTGGTAATAAAAGTGCCAGTGTGAGAGGTGGAGGAGGCTCCAGAAGGAGCAAAAGAGTGGCCACCAGTAAGTCCCACTCAACTCTACTGGCCATCCTTGAAAGAGTTTTGCCCAGGGCCAAAACTCATCCTTTCCTCCTGCTTTCAGAGACCAGAACTCTCAAGGTGCCCCATGGCTTGAACAGGATCCTCTTGAAAGGACATTCCCTGGGGGAGTTAGTGAGGGCAACTCATCCCCCTCAGAAGCTGTCAGAAGCCATGTCCCTCTTTCTGTTGTTCCTTGGCTGAAACAAAATCTGTTCTTGTTCATCTTCACATCCTATCGCCCATGGGAGTTATTGCCAGGAGACTTGGCTGCCAATAGCAATGTAGGAAGAAGGTCCAGTGGTGCTTACATGCTGCAATTCAAGAAGCACTCTCTGGTCTTACTTAAATGTAAACAATTTACATTAAGATGTGTTTTGTAGTAGAAACTGTCAAATTGGAAAGAAATCCTACTGCGATTTCACAAACATAACTCTAGATGTAACACCTTCCATCATATTAACCTCATATGAATCTCAAAGTTCCTTAATTCTTACCATCCTTCATCATCCTCAACTTCAGGTTCAGATGCTTCATTTTCAGGCGTCTCTGCTATTGCCTGGTTTAGCTTCGATTTGAATCTGTCCAGCAAGGCTAACGTCTGGAATTAAGACACGAATACTTAAAATCTGTTTAGTTCATCATGCTTTTCAGTTACAGCTAGACAAATACTCTTGATGATGAGTAATGGAACTGTATCACAAAATAAGCTGAGCAAAGGCATTTTAAAAAAAGCTGCGCTTATTTATGAATGATTATGCATACCAGAGTATTAAACAGAGATAGACAAATGTTGTAAGACAAATCTTTCCTCTGGGGTGTTCTATGTTAACTTATTTGCCTGTTGAATTTCACGTGGCTCAATTCATGTATCCCAGCACTCCATGCAAAGAAGGGTGCCTTAGTACTATACCTTAAAAGCTAAAAGCTAGAAAAACCATTTTTCCCCATTGAAGAGGAAGGAGCAGTCAATTATCTTGTGAAGGCCTATATATAATATAACAAAAGAGCCTTAAAGATAATCAATTTTCATTTCACCTAAGCCTTGGATACTAGCTCATTTCTTTATGTGCTTTTGGATCTGACACATCTGAAATCATTCATGTATACAGACAACACATGTTGATTTTTAAGGTACCACCATATTCTTTGCTGGTTTTGCTACAACAAACTAACATGGCTACCGCCTTGGAAATAAGCAATGAGCACCATGATCAATAGTTTTTTTGTTCTTTTTTTAAGCTGGAAAAAATGCATAGTTGGAAATAGACAGAGATCAACTTAGAAGAAAAGGGATGGTTTATCTATCAGTTTCCAATTGCACATTTTTTTCCTAACTGCACATTTTACGTACACTGGCATGCTAAAAAAAACATACCCATGTTTGCATGTGCACAAAAGAAACCCATTTATTATAGAAGATTCTCCTTTCATGTCATGCAAAGGCACCTATTACTTGACGGATATTTGGGCTTGGGCAGATGCTTTCACAGATGTGTTGCTCTAAGCCCCATCATTGCCTAAGGCCACTCTCCTTCATCCTGGGTAAATTAGCATCAGATCATGTATTATTTTTTTAAAGGTTGCTTTCCTGGACGTCCAGTTCTCTGAATGATCAGCTTGTTCTCTCCTCCATTGTTCTGACTTGCTTCTGCTCTGGAGATTCTTTGGACAGCTGCTGTCGGGAATCCGTTAGGAATGGAGAGGAAGGGCAAAGGTTCCTCAGTGAGAAAATCAGAAAGCCAACAAATGCCTCTGAAAGCCAACTTGCCCATTGCTATCAATCTTCCCTTGCAATATGTATTCTTGAAACAAGTATATGGAAACAACTCACACAAAGCAATGGTGAGGCCCAACATGCCTGTAACTGGCACTATATTACTAATGTGACCACTGGAAGTGATTTCTAGCAGATGGGGTTCTCTGACAAACAACCCAATGGGAAAGAACCTCCTGGAAATAATTTTAATTTCACCAATTTTACCTGATCTTCACGAGAAGACCCTTTCTTTGGCTGTTGCTTTCTTAATTGTTCATACTTCTTTTTCTCCTCCAAATATTCTGCAACAATGCTGTTTGGGGCAGCTTCCTCCTCTGCATTTAGAAAAACAACAGAAATATTCATTTTAGTCAAGGATGAAATACTGTAGTAAAAGGCAAAGGAGGAAAAATATTAAAATATGTATTATAAACCACTTGAAAAAAGCAAGAATACAATTGAAAATAGTAATTTGTACCTGAACTTGTACTCTTATTCCAAGAAAGCAAGTATCAATAAATAGTATTAAAGTTTTTTTTTTCCAAAATGAAATTTCAATGACACACCAGTCAATGAACCATATGTATGTTAAGGTCTGACAAATGCTGCTGGTACTTAGAATTCACAGAATCATAAAATCTCCCAGAAGGGAGCCCAAGGGCCATTAGGTCACAGCAGGAAACCCACAGCTAAAACAGCTCTGACAAGTGGCAATCAAACCTTTGCTAAAGAACCTCCAATGATTTGAGAATGCCATTCCATTGATGAACAGCTCTTCTAGTCAAGAGGTTTTTTCTCATGTTTAGTGCAAAATCTCCTTTCTCGTAATTTGAATTCATATTACCTCTCAGTCTTCTCTTCTCCATATCCAGGTCTCACAAATGTTGCTCATAGTTTCCATTATCAGTGAAAACAAAATAAAAAGTAAAAAAAAAGACAAAATGGCAGTGACACCTTAAAGACTAGCTTATTTTTTTTTTTTGATGTGAGCTTTTGTGGACGAGCCCACTTCATTAGGCATAAGAGGAGGAGAAATAACATGAGAGACAAAATGGCAGTGACACCTTAAAGACTGGCTTATATATTTTTTGATGTGAGCTTCTGTGGACAAGCCCACTTCATCAGACATAAGAGGAGGAGAAATAACATGACAAATATTTATATATGGTATCAAGGTACTGTATAGAAATAAATAGAGATCATGGTTGGTTCGTTGGTGAGAAAGTCAGTGGATGATGATAGTGTCTTTGATCTGGACATTCTTTTTCTCTTCATGTAGGTTAGTATTATAGTTCATGCAGATTACCTATATTTTGTGTGTCTGTGTGCATGAACATATGTTCAAAAGTCTTATATTCATGGAAGATGGATTATACAATCCTATTGGATTTACTCTGGTTATGATCTAATTGTGCATCCATAGCCCAGGCCAGAGAAGACAGTGCCAAGCTGCTGGGGGGGGAAAAGGAGAATAGAGGATTAGACCTAGTCGCCTGAGAACGGATTTTAGGGAATGGACCAGGGCTAATGAAGACACACACACCCTTTTTAAAAAGGAGGTTATGTGGCACAACCTAGATATTTTAAGTATCAGTTGTTCAGATTTTAAATTTGTTATATTAACATTCAGCACAGACTGATATCTTCCATTCAATTTGGTGGCTAAACTGAGTTTATGGGTATGACATAAATATCTTGGCTAAATTAAAGTTGACTGTTTGTTGGATGATGGAGAAGCTAGGCTAAAAGCTGATGACAAACTGCTTCTGTGAGAAGAATGGTAACACATATTCAATTTGTAAATGGATTTGTCCAGACGATTGACTGGTAGAGTTCAGACTGGCTTTGTGAATTAGCATATGTATTCATTTATATCCTTGATATTTTAAAACCAGGAAGGGTGAACTAGCTTGAATTTCACTACATAAGCTGCCAGAGTGACCATAATTGAGCCTTACATCAGATTATATTTACAAACATTGATGGCTACAGAAGTCTGGAAATTTGTTTGACTTATTTCAACATTTTTGTAATAAAATCAAACTTAATGTCCCTGTGATCCAGCTGCATGTACTCTTTTCACCAATTCCAAATACCTTTAAATTTCTTTATGTATTAATTCCTTGTGTGAGGAGTGTAAGTGTGAAAAAGACTTGCACAATATCATGATTTACTTACATGTGCAGGAAAGTCTGACATGTGCTTAGAACAGCATATAGAAGTACCTTTTGGCCATCTCATCTCCCCAGCATGGGACTGAATACAGTCTTCAGTCTACCCTCAGTCTTGATCCAGTGAGGGATTTTGAGTCCCTTGTGTCACTTATTCATAGATTTCCTGTGTGTATCAGAGCCAGGCCAAGAGCTGAAACACATGTGACCTCCTCCACCTCCTCTCCTCTGGCAGGCAAACCGCTTAGGAGGGAGAACAAAATGAGTCTGTGCCTAACCTTTGCTTCTGGAATTCTGCTACCATTGGCAACTGGGTGAGGTGGGTTGGAGAGTTGGTGGAGACTGAACCAGTGGGAACTTGGCAGCTTTGTCAATGACCCGGGATGATGAAATAATCTTTAATGAAGTAAAATTAATCTCTTATAATAATAGTTACTGAAGCCTTAGTGGAATTGTTGGTGTTATTATTTTTTAAAAAATCATATCTATATAAGTGTTTAAGTATACTGTATATTGCATATATATTCATATATAGATATATATAAAATGACTGAACTCTGCTCCTGCCTTTAAGCCACGGTTCCAACATGTGGCCAACTGAAAAAATGGCCCCCGGAGCTGTTGTAGGATCTCAAAAATGATTTGGGACCTTTTGTTTGCAACCATGTCTGCTTTCTGAAGGAGAGTAACAAAAATTGACCCAGTGTGGTGTAGTGAATAGAGTGACAGACTAAGGCTAAGGACACCTGGGTTCAATTCCCTGCTTGGCCACGGAAACTCATGGGTGGAGTATGGAACTGGTAAAACCTTTCCTTAAATACTCCACTAACCTTGAAAGCCATATTAGGGTCACTATAAGTTGTTTTCAACTTGGTGGCATATAACCACAACAAAAATGGGCACGAAACAGATTCTCTCTCCCTCTCTCTGTAAACTTTTGGATGGATAATGGAAAAATCCAAAATATCAGCAACATTTGTTTTCAAAGGAGGGAAGCAAAAGCACTAGAATAAGCCACGGAAGGAAGGAAGGAAGGAAGGAAGGAGATGGATAATGGAAAAATCCAAAATATCAGCAACATTTGTTTTCAAAGGAGGGAAGCAAAAGCACTAGAATAAGCCACAGAAAGGAAGGAAGGAAGGAAGGAAGGAAGGAAGGAAGGAAGGAAGGAAGGTAGTTATGAATGCTATCATTGTAAATGTTCATTATCTGCTTCTTTATAGAACAAACATTAAGCATGCATGTTATAACCTGAGAAAATTATTACTGCTATTTTTGGCAGTGAATTGGTGCAAAATATTTGAAGCAAAACTGGTATCAAGAATACTATAAAAACAGGAATGCAAAGCCAGTACTTTTGCAACCTGTCACTATGTTTATACTATCCAGTGGGGCATAAAACTTTCATATCGTAAAGTGGAGTACTTCAGCACTATTGCAGACTCTGCCAAAATCAAAACAGCACATGACTAATTTATTATTCCAGGTCTATTCATGCAATTAATTGTGTGCTGTCAAGCTGATTCCAACTTACAGTGGTTCTCTCAAGATTTTCTAGATATAAAATAGAGGAGATGTACGGAGTCCCCCATTCTGGTAGCACTCTGGTGACACTCCAGGACCAGGATGGCTTCCCCCCTTGGAAGCACAGTGGGGATCAGTCTTTCTGGCTCCAAAGGTTTCTGACTTCAAGCCACCAAACACTATAAATTTAATAGTAACTTTTATCCAGAAATCAACATTCTGTATAGGCATTGGGAGCACTGTTTGCATACTGGTATAATTTGCTCCCCACCATAGTCCCAGGTTCCACAAGCCAAAATCACTTAAGAAATGACTGAGGAGGGACACATCCAGTCTGAAAATATAGACAAGTCTAGAAAATATTTTCTTGATTAGAACACAGCTGTTATTCATCCTTTTGCTCAGTGAATTTTCAGCCATATCTCTCTTACCCTTGCAATGTCCTCCTTCACACTGATCAGAATATTCCTGGTAAGCAGGAATCCTATTTCCTATAAAAAGTGTTTTGATGCTAGGTTGAGGATGGGAAAACCCTATTTGACAACCCGCTTTCCCCTTGCACAATGCTGAGTGGTAAATCATCTTGTTGGTACATACCATCAAGCAGCTTGCAATTTATGGCAAGCCTATGGACTGACAATCTCCAAAATGTCCTGTCATTAACAGCCCTACTCACATCTTGCAGACTGAAAGTCACAGCTTCCTTGATTTACTCATGTTAGGGGGTTCCCTTTTCCTGCCGCCTTCCACTGTTCCTACCACTATTGTCTTTTCCAATGAATCGTGTCTTCTCATGATATACTTAAAAGATGACATCTGCAGTATAGTAACAATACACAGGAAGTTTGCAAAGTACAGTATGATACTTCATGGCCTATATGAAGAATGAAAACAATATATTTGAACAATATATAGGGGAAAATGTATATGTTAGAAAGTAATATGCATACAAATGGTAAGTAACAGAGAAAAATAAGAGACCATACAGTCTTTATTTCTTTCTGTATATTAAGAACAACACAGGATAAAGAAGAGATTATACAAACTACTAGGGAGAAGATAAGAGACAAATGTTTCCTTTATCTGCTAGACTGTCTTCAGATTTCCAGCTATCAGCAATACTTGTCTTAATCCATTTAACTCTTTTATTTAGTGTCCAAGACTAACCCTACAGGATATTAAGTGATGCTGCCTCCAGGCACTGCCTTTCCAGCTGTTACAACTGGCTGCTGCTCTTATGTTGAATGGTAACCATTGACAGGTTTTTTGTTTTGTCTTGCCTTTTTGGCTGAGGAAGCCACAAATCACTGTGCAAGGAAATGCACACTTCTAAAAACCATAAACCTATTTCATCCCGCTAATTTAAAAAACAACAGAAGTAACAAAATTAACACAGGGAAACAAAAACATTATTTAAGTATGGTGGAATCATCCATTTATTCAGTCATTCTGCATACAAACTATTGAGGCTATATAATCAACAAAAGATCAAATATTAAGATTTTAACACATTAATATTCTTGTTATATTTGGGACAGTTCTGGAGTTGTGAAATTTTTAAAGAATCTGCTAGCTATAGTAAAAAAGATACTGTATGTGATTGGCTCTGGAAGGGCACTTCTGTTCATAATTAAAAACAA